CATTGATAACCTTAATTGATAACAGATAATAACAGATAAGAGAGGTTCTGCTATGTTCTAGTCTGGTCTGGTCTGGTTTCGTATGGTCTGGTCTGCTTCTGTTCTGAATCTGCACTCAACAATGCTGTATTGGTTTGTGATTGTGTTTTGAAATAGTAACAGATAGGTTCATTGATAACCTTAATTGATAACAGATAATAACAGATAAGAGAGGTTCTGCTATGTTCTAGTCTGGTCTGGTCTGGTTTCGTATGGTCTGGTCTGCTTCTGTTCTGAATCTGCACTCAACAATGCTGTATTGGTTTGTGATTGTGTTTTGAAATAGTAACAGATAGGTTCATTGATAACCTTAATTGATAACAGATAATAACAGATAAGAGAGGTTCTGCTATGTTCTAGTCTGGTCTGGTCTGGTTTCGTATGGTCTGGTCTGCTTCTGTTCTGAATCTGCACTCAACAATGCTGTATTGGTTTGTGATTGTGTTTTGAAATAGTAACAGATAGGTTCATTGATAACCTTAATTGATAACAGATAATAACAGATAAGAGAGGTTCTGCTATGTTCTAGTCTGGTCTGGTCTGGTTTCGTATGGTCTGGTCTGCTTCTGTTCTGAATCTGCACTCAACAATGCTGTATTGGTTTGTGATTGTGTTTTGAAATAGTAACAGATAGGTTCATTGATAACCTTAATTGATAACAGATAATAACAGATAAGAGAGGTTCTGCTATGTTCTAGTCTGGTCTGGTCTGGTTTCGTATGGTCTGGTCTGCTTCTGTTCTGAATCTGCACTCAACAATGCTGTATTGGTTTGTGATTGTGTTTTGAAATAGTAACAGATAGGTTCATTGATAACCTTAATTGATAACAGATAATAACAGATAAGAGAGGTTCTGCTATGTTCTAGTCTGGTCTGGTCTGGTTTCGTATGGTCTGGTCTGCTTCTGTTCTGAATCTGCACTCAACAATGCTGTATTGGTTTGTGATTGTGTTTTGAAATAGTAACAGATAGGTTCATTGATAACCTTAATTGATAACAGATAATAACAGATAAGAGAGGTTCTGCTATGTTCTAGTCTGGTCTGGTCTGGTTTCGTATGGTCTGGTCTGCTTCTGTTCTGAATCTGCACTCAACAATGCTGTATTGGTTTGTGATTGTGTTTTGAAATAGTAACAGATAGGTTCATTGATAACCTTAATTGATAACAGATAATAACAGATAAGAGAGGTTCTGCTATGTTCTAGTCTGGTCTGGTCTGGTTTCGTATGGTCTGGTCTGCTTCTGTTCTGAATCTGCACTCAACAATGCTGTATTGGTTTGTGATTGTGTTTTGAAATAGTAACAGATAGGTTCATTGATAACCTTAATTGATAACAGATAATAACAGATAAGAGAGGTTCTGCTATGTTCTAGTCTGGTCTGGTCTGGTTTCGTATGGTCTGGTCTGCTTCTGTTCTGAATCTGCACTCAACAATGCTGTATTGGTTTGTGATTGTGTTTTGAAATAGTAACAGATAGGTTCATTGATAACCTTAATTGATAACAGATAATAACAGATAAGAGAGGTTCTGCTATGTTCTAGTCTGGTCTGGTCTGGTTTCGTATGGTCTGGTCTGCTTCTGTTCTGAATCTGCACTCAACAATGCTGTATTGGTTTGTGATTGTGTTTTGAAATAGTAACAGATAGGTTCATTGATAACCTTAATTGATAACAGATAATAACAGATAAGAGAGGTTCTGCTATGTTCTAGTCTGGTCTGGTCTGGTTTCGTATGGTCTGGTCTGCTTCTGTTCTGAATCTGCACTCAACAATGCTGTATTGGTTTGTGATTGTGTTTTGAAATAGTAACAGATAGGTTCATTGATAACCTTAATTGATAACAGATAATAACAGATAAGAGAGGTTCTGCTATGTTCTAGTCTGGTCTGGTCTGGTTTCGTATGGTCTGGTCTGCTTCTGTTCTGAATCTGCACTCAACAATGCTGTATTGGTTTGTGATTGTGTTTTGAAATAGTAACAGATAGGTTCATTGATAACCTTAATTGATAACAGATAATAACAGATAAGAGAGGTTCTGCTATGTTCTAGTCTGGTCTGGTCTGGTTTCGTATGGTCTGGTCTGCTTCTGTTCTGAATCTGCACTCAACAATGCTGTATTGGTTTGTGATTGTGTTTTGAAATAGTAACAGATAGGTTCATTGATAACCTTAATTGATAACAGATAATAACAGATAAGAGAGGTTCTGCTATGTTCTAGTCTGGTCTGGTCTGGTTTCGTATGGTCTGGTCTGCTTCTGTTCTGAATCTGCACTCAACAATGCTGTATTGGTTTGTGATTGTGTTTTGAAATAGTAACAGATAGGTTCATTGATAACCTTAATTGATAACAGATAATAACAGATAAGAGAGGTTCTGCTATGTTCTAGTCTGGTCTGGTCTGGTTTCGTATGGTCTGGTCTGCTTCTGTTCTGAATCTGCACTCAACAATGCTGTATTGGTTTGTGATTGTGTTTTGAAATAGTAACAGATAGGTTCATTGATAACCTTAATTGATAACAGATAATAACAGATAAGAGAGGTTCTGCTATGTTCTAGTCTGGTCTGGTCTGGTTTCGTATGGTCTGGTCTGCTTCTGTTCTGAATCTGCACTCAACAATGCTGTATTGGTTTGTGATTGTGTTTTGAAATAGTAACAGATAGGTTCATTGATAACCTTAATTGATAACAGATAATAACAGATAAGAGAGGTTCTGCTATGTTCTAGTCTGGTCTGGTCTGGTTTCGTATGGTCTGGTCTGCTTCTGTTCTGAATCTGCACTCAACAATGCTGTATTGGTTTGTGATTGTGTTTTGAAATAGTAACAGATAGGTTCATTGATAACCTTAATTGATAACAGATAATAACAGATAAGAGAGGTTCTGCTATGTTCTAGTCTGGTCTGGTCTGGTTTCGTATGGTCTGGTCTGCTTCTGTTCTGAATCTGCACTCAACAATGCTGTATTGGTTTGTGATTGTGTTTTGAAATAGTAACAGATAGGTTCATTGATAACCTTAATTGATAACAGATAATAACAGATAAGAGAGGTTCTGCTATGTTCTAGTCTGGTCTGGTCTGGTTTCGTATGGTCTGGTCTGCTTCTGTTCTGAATCTGCACTCAACAATGCTGTATTGGTTTGTGATTGTGTTTTGAAATAGTAACAGATAGGTTCATTGATAACCTTAATTGATAACAGATAATAACAGATAAGAGAGGTTCTGCTATGTTCTAGTCTGGTCTGGTCTGGTTTCGTATGGTCTGGTCTGCTTCTGTTCTGAATCTGCACTCAACAATGCTGTATTGGTTTGTGATTGTGTTTTGAAATAGTAACAGATAGGTTCATTGATAACCTTAATTGATAACAGATAATAACAGATAAGAGAGGTTCTGCTATGTTCTAGTCTGGTCTGGTCTGGTTTCGTATGGTCTGGTCTGCTTCTGTTCTGAATCTGCACTCAACAATGCTGTATTGGTTTGTGATTGTGTTTTGAAATAGTAACAGATAGGTTCATTGATAACCTTAATTGATAACAGATAATAACAGATAAGAGAGGTTCTGCTATGTTCTAGTCTGGTCTGGTCTGGTTTCGTATGGTCTGGTCTGCTTCTGTTCTGAATCTGCACTCAACAATGCTGTATTGGTTTGTGATTGTGTTTTGAAATAGTAACAGATAGGTTCATTGATAACCTTAATTGATAACAGATAATAACAGATAAGAGAGGTTCTGCTATGTTCTAGTCTGGTCTGGTCTGGTTTCGTATGGTCTGGTCTGCTTCTGTTCTGAATCTGCACTCAACAATGCTGTATTGGTTTGTGATTGTGTTTTGAAATAGTAACAGATAGGTTCATTGATAACCTTAATTGATAACAGATAATAACAGATAAGAGAGGTTCTGCTATGTTCTAGTCTGGTCTGGTCTGGTTTCGTATGGTCTGGTCTGCTTCTGTTCTGAATCTGCACTCAACAATGCTGTATTGGTTTGTGATTGTGTTTTGAAATAGTAACAGATAGGTTCATTGATAACCTTAATTGATAACAGATAATAACAGATAAGAGAGGTTCTGGTCTGTTGTGGTCTGCATCTGCTGGTCTGGTCTGCATCTTCTACTCTGGTCTGGTTCTGCTCTGCCCTGGTCTGCATGTGCTACTCTGGTCTGGTCTGGTCTGCATTTGCTACTGTGGACTGGTCTGGTCTGCATCTGCTATAGTTCAACACAACCCTTGATACAATTCAAAATAGTATTACATAGCATAAATAATGGTTTTGTTACACAACAAAAAGGTATCAGATAGCAACAATACTGTTTTGGCACTAAATAATATCAGATAGCATAAATAATGGTCTGCTTTGGTCTACTGGGAATGGACTGCTCTGGTCTGAATCTGCACTCAACAATGCTGTATTGGTTTGTGATTGTGTTTTCAAATAGTAATAGATAGGTTCATTGATAACATTAATTGATAACAGATAATAACAGATAAGATAGGTTCATGGTTTTGGTACAAGTTCATTGATAACATTCATTGATAACAGATAACAGTAATGGTTCAAATGCCATACATGGTTGGTAACAGATAACAGTTTTGGCAATCATTCCATGGTTTTGGTACAGGTTCATGGTTCTGCTAGAGCTGTCTTGGTTCCATCATTCATTGATAACAGATAACATTCCATCATTGATAACAGATAATATGGTTTTGGTACAGATAATAATAGATAATATTCATTCATTCCAAAATTCCATCATTCATTCATTCATTCATTCCAAAATTCATTCCAAAATTCATTCATTCCAAAATATGCCATACTTCATTCAGCAGCTAATAGATAATTCATTCATTTATTCGAAAATGTACCATACTTCATTCCAAAATTCATTTCATTCATTCATTCGAAAGTTGAGGCCACAAGTTGACGAAAATAGATAATAAATAACAAGTTAACAAGTTCATGTACATACAAGCCAAAATGCTACAAACTTCCAAGTTACATCATAAAGTAGAAAATGGTAGCAAATACAATGAAGTACACCATCGCTTTGATATTCCTTTCCATCCTTTGAAGCCTTCGGCCATAGTTCGTTTCCATGTAATGAAGCCTCGTCCTTACATCGTTAAAGTCTTGTACTGTTATACCATCACAAGCTGTATAGTTCGTACGGATTATGGACGTAACGTCTTCATCATCTTCATCCACGAACTTGAAGTAATTGCAATGGGGAGTGGGAGTCTTACTCTGCAATGCATGAGAATAAGTTAGTCAAAGAAGACGAATATTAATTTGACTACTAAACGAAGAAAACAGCTAGAATTACAAACTTACATATCTTGATGGGCAAACAAAGAACAAACGCCCTTCATTTCCATTCTCATTGGTTTTTACAATACGTATGGCAGCGGTTCTTCCACAATTGCACACCCTCGGTTGTAATCTTATGCTGCTAATGTTAGAGGAAGATGCCATTTTTCAAAATCTGCATACATGACAAATATTTGAACCATGGTAGTTCCATAGAGGAAAAGGGACATTTCAGCTTTGAAATGGTAGTTCAAAAAAAACCATAGTTTAGCTAACCCTTTTAAAATTTGGCAATCTATATAAGACTAATCCAACAGAAGAATTTGTCACATTTCAGCTTTGAGAATTACTATGAATTACTTTCAGACTAAAGAGAGCTTCATCTTATGGTAAAACTTGTTGTACCATTAAGTTGTGATAGGGGATGTTAAAGAGAGCTTAATCTTATGGTAAATTTATAAGGTTAAAGAGTTGAAGAGTCATCCTTATTTCATTTTCAATTACTCTCTCAACACTTCCTGATTTATGCTCCTATCTTTGTGATTCACTATTTGCAAAATATCTATATTTCTATGAATAAATGAGTATTTACTTGTGATTAGTTGAACACGAGAGTCTAGTGGTGGGATGCAACAAGTTGAACTTCCTATTTACTTGCATAGCACTTCAAACCAAGAGGAATTCTTTATCTTTCTTTCTTTTTATTTTATTTTATTTTTAATGTTTTTTGGGTATGCTGGTGAAGCTCCTTATCCTCTTCAATGTTGAAAAATTACATATAATTCTTTTATTTTCTTCATGTACTCTAGTTCTGTTCTCATTCTTCCTCTAAACCTATGTGTTTAGCTTTCACACATCTTTTTCTTCAAATGCATAAAAACATTAGTAATACTCATCCATCTAATGCAAAAACAGCCATAAAGCCATTATATAACTGTCCCTCTCAAACTAACCCAAGTTTGGTTGAGCATACAAAGGAGATGACATAAAAAAGCAAAAAAATTCGTAAAGACTTGCTTAATATATTCCTTCACGCACTTGATAGGTAACTGAATATTACTTTCCTCCTATCTAACTAATTCTTTTGCTACAATGTATGATTTTAAGTGATGGTTCAGCTAAACCAAAATGTGCCATACTTAGATAATTACTTCAACTATCATATTGCCATACTCAGATAATTAGTTCAACTATCATTTCATACACAGAACAAACTAATTAACACTGAAAGCAAATACTCAGATAATTAGTTCAACTATCATTTCATACACAAAACAAACTAATTAACACCGAAAGCAAAATCAAAGCCCAAATGAACACTGATTTTTATTATTCATGTCAATGTTTCAGACATTTGAAATCAAAGCCCTAATTTCTCAATCCCAAATCAAAGCCCAAATCAAAGCCCTATTTTCTGTTCGAATCCCTATTCGAATCAAAGCCAAATCAAAGCCCTATTTTTTGTTCGAATCCCTATTCGAATCAAAGCCAAATCAAACCAGTTTTTCTGTTCGAATCTGACATCGAAGCCCCTAATTTTCAAATTTAAAAGATATTTTCTCAATCTCAATCACACAATCCTAACATCTTCAGTTCAGAGTTTCGAATACTAACCTGGTTCCTCTATGGTCTCAGAACCCACGTTCCTGGAGGTGGGTCGCCGGTGCCGCCGTCTGGGGGACTGGTCGTCGGTGAGAGTAGATTCAGTGGAGGGGAACGAGTGAGTGGGAGGAGTGCAAGGCTGAGTGAAACTGAGGAGTGAGAGTGATTCTCATATGAATGTATAATACTAACTATAGCGACGGGCGGGAACGAATAGAAATTCCAATTTTTTTTTTTAATCTCAGTCGTTGGATGTGCAACGGCTGATCTCAGCCGTTGCAAGGACGCATGCTCGTAACTCTCTGCAAGGAGAGGATCTGAACTCGGGATATTTCCCCATGGGAGAAGTTTCTATGTAGCTTAGTGGGTATAGGGTGAGCATAGTTCGGATTTGATTGGATTGAGGTAAAATTAAAATCAATTCGTTATTTATGGTTCTTAAAAAATTAGAATTAATTCAATCCGTTTAAATCGTGGAACCAATCCGAACCAATCTATTTAAATACGGATTGGATCGGTTTAGGACCACGGATTTACATAATTAAATAACAAAAAATATATATAACACTTTCATTTCATAAAAATATAAATATAGCACCATATTACTTTCACAATAGTAACATGTTTTTTTATAATAGCGACATACTGTTCTAGAATTTAAATAACCATCAGAAAACTAGTTCCACCATAAGTATTTAGACCATTACAAATTAACACTAAAAACTAGCAAACAAAAATAATAAAAGAATATATTATGCGAGTTTAGGTTTGGATCTAAGTTTTATATAAAATAAGAGAAGATACTATTCCAGAGGGTGTATAATAAAAATATAGACTATTTGGTATACAGTCCGGATTGGTTCCAATCCGAAATCGTGGGGTTCAATCCGGAACCAATCCGTGAACTACGGATTTTTAATTTTTCAATCCGGAACTGAACCACGGATTCAAAAAACCAATGAAAATCTACTGGATTGGACTGGATTGGATTGAATTATGGATTTCACGGATTCCTTGCTCAGCCCTAAGTGTGTAGATTGAAACGTACTGTTTGATACATGGATTGATAATTTAAAATGCGTAAATCTTGCTGATTACTTCATATACGTAAAAATTACGTTAATTGCATATCGATTATCCTTTATTCGGAACATATTTTTATTAATAATTTATTTTTAAAATGATATTTATTATTAATAAAAATATGTTCCGATCAAGAGCTTAATGATATTTAATCAATGTAATTTTTTTATAAACAAGAACTACTTCACGAGCTCTGCATATTGAATGATTTAAATTATCAAAACGAGACCTATGATAAACCTCACAGATCCAACAGTATGCTCCAGTTTACTTAGAAGTGTTTGGCAAAGGCTTTTTTTTGGCTAAAATCTACAAAATGATAAAATATGTTAAATAGTCAATAAGACAAAATATCACATCAAATCTATAATCATTTCATTTTTTTCTTACAAACATTACATTTAACTATAAAAAAATCTAATCATCTTTCCAAACACAAAATTTTAACCTGCTAAAATAATAAAAAAATTAAAATAGCTTACTAAAATAGCAACTTTCCCTTAGTGGAATGTGTAAGAATTAATAATACATGTAACTATAATAATAATGCGAGAACAAACTCATCAGGATCTTGAATTCAATACAACTCAAGAATAAAACAAACATATCTTTGTCAGCCATTGAATTAGAAAAGTTGAGAAAATACCCGTAATAGTTGAACATTTAATTCTTCGCTCATCTTCTTCTCTCTGTCTCTCTTAATTAGGATAACTATAAAACTTAGAGTGATAGAAAAAATACTCATGATATGAAATGAGAGTCACCCATCTATATAATAAAGCAGAACAAATTTTGAAAATATATAAAATGTATCAGATATACAATTGATTTTAACGATCAAGATGAATCCTAAGTACATATACATTTAGATCAATGGTCTATATACATTTAGTTTCCGCCCGTTTGAGCTCATCTCTCCCTCTCTCCTACGTACCCAAACACGTTCTCTTCAACTCCCTCTCTTTCATGTTCTTTGTCACATTGTCTCTCACATTCTCACAAAATAACCCACTACTGCTTATCACCACAGCCATTGAAGAGGAAGACCGAATTCAGCAAAAACCCAACCCTTTGATACCCACCCTCCCTCTTTGCTACGCTACTTCTCCTTCCCTTACAACCCTTCGAACTCAGCTCCCTTCACTGTTGACGCTACCGACACTGCTCTTGCAAGGTAAGATTGAGCCACAAAGTCAGATTGAGTCTTTTCACTCGATTTCTGCCTCTCCCATTCTCTTTCTGTTTTTGTTTTTAACTAATTTCTCTTGCTGCAATTTGGCTTGCTGCAGTTCCAGCCCCACTGCCGTTTTCAAGAACAGAGGTATTTTACCCCAATTTCGGGCTTGCTGTAGTTCTTTATTTTACATTCGCTTCAAGTTATATACATTAGGTTTGATTGGTGTGATTTGGGTTTGATATTTTTCACCTTTCTCTCTCTATTCTTCTCCTTTATTTCATGAATACATAGTAAGGAGATCGTAATTACAGACTTCATAATTGTATATTAAAGTTTTGTTTATTAATTATTTGAATTTTGAAGTTTGTTTTTAGAATTTACATGTTTTGTATTGAATTTTAAGTGAGAGGGAGATTTATGAGCTGGAATGGGCCATGGTAAAGACCGGGCAAAATGAGGGGCCGAACATGTTTGGGCCGTGATAGCTTGGGCTCGTCTAGATAAGGTTTTGTTCGGTTGAGACCCAAGACCATATTGGGATCGAGCTACTTGGGCTTACTATGTAGAAAATCGAGCTACTTGAGTTGCTCAGCCGAGATGATTGCCTGCCATTCTGGATTCCACGGTTCACACGTTTAGCGCGGCAGGAAGGCCTTCGGTTCCGTGTACTCCGAGCCAAAACAAAAGCTAGTTAGAAATATGCATGATCCTAACTATACAAAATGCCTAATGCAACACATGCAATAATGCAACTAAATAAGCTCGGCTATCTAAGATGGCATATGAATGCAACGATTTGATACATGTATTCAAAGAGGTATTGAAATACGATGCAATTTGAATGATTCGCCGAGCTCGGTGCATGCAATACAAATGAATGACGCAGACATGCAAAGCATAAGGTATGCTAATCAAAACGTGCCCTAAACTAACCATTGAAAGCGGTTAAGTAAAAGGAAGAAAGAAGTGGGGTTGGAAGACATGCACACACACGCACGCTTATTACAACATATCGCCCTCTCGAAGGAGGGTCCGAATAAATAAGCTAAACTATACTAAGCTAAGCTAATTAATACAAACCAACTAATTAACTAATCTAGCTAATTAATTATTACAACACAAAATTGAAACTAGTTATGCAAAGCTAATTAAAATATTACAAAACAGGTTAAGCTAATTAATTACAACACATGTATTGATTAACTACAACTAGCTAATAAAGAAATAAAGTGGCCTCACGGGTGAGAGAGATATGCATGCTCGATTGGCTTTCTTCCGAAAATCCACCGCCTTGCCTTTGGATGCCTCTGTTTGCACTTTTGCTTTGATCTTTGAATATTACACCATTTAACAGACTGCCTCTGCTCCACC